CACCATCTGACCTCACTTATCAATCTCAGCACCACTAATAGTGGGAAAACTAAAGTACACAGCATGGCCTAGCTATCATCCCAAAAGTGTTTCACCTGCATCATATCAAGTGGTCTGCTCTAACTTCCAGTTTGTAGTAACAAGTGAAATGATATCACCAGAAATCAATCAGGGACAAATCTAGACAACTGACCAGGTCCTTTCAACAAGTCATGTGGAGGGGGTAGCAAGGGGAGGGGAGGGAAAAAGGTAACCGTTCTAGATAAAAGAGACTTCAAGAGATATACAAATCAACCGCAATCTGTGGCCTTTGATTAGAAACTGGATTTAAAAACAGTTTTTTAAAAGAGACCATCTGGAGAAATTTTAATAAGAATTGAGTATTAGATAATAGAAAAGAATTACTGTTCACTGTAATTATGATATTGGGATTGGCATGGGAAAATGTTCTTTTTATTAGAGATATTAAAATATTTAGGGGTTAAATGTCAAGAATAGGCTAGGCGCGGTGGCTCACACCTGTAATCCCAGGACTTTGGGAGGCCAAGACTGGTGGATCACTTGAGGTCAGAAGTTTGAGACCAGACTGGCCAACATTGTGAAACCCCGTCTCTACTAAAAATATAAAAATCAGCTGGGTGTCAGGTCACACACCTGTAATCCCAGCTACTTGGCAGGCTGAGGCACAAGAATCTCTTGAACCCAGGAGGCAGAGGTTGTAGCGAACTGAGATCGTACCACTGCACTCCAGCCTGGTCAAAAGAGCAAGACTCCATCTCAAAAAATAAAAATAAAATAAAATTTAAAACATCAAGAATAAAAGCAAATATGGCAAAATATTAACAGATTTTTAAATCTGAGTGATAGGTTTACAGGGGTTCAATATTTTTTCTACTTTTCTGGTTTAAAATTTTTCATAATAAACAGTAAAATGAAAAAGCTTATAGGAGGCCAGGCACGGTGGCTCATGCCTATAATCCCAACACTTTGGGAGGCCAAGGTGAGTGGTTCACCTGAGGTCAGGCGTTCAAGACCAGCCTGGCCAACACGGCAAAACCCCCTCTCTACTAAAAATACAAAAAATTAGCCAGACATGGTGGCAGGTACCTGTAATCCCAGCTACTCGGGAGGCTGAGGCAGGAGAATCGCTTGAACCTGGGAGGTGGAGGTTGCAGTGAGCTGAGATCGTGCCACTGCACTCCAGCCTGGGCACCAAGAGCAAAACTCTGTCTTAAAGAAAAGCAAAGCTTATAGGGAAAATATGGCCTGGATGCAGTGGCAGCACACTTATAATCCTAGCACTTTGGGAGGCCGAGGCAGGAGAATCACTTGAGGCCAGGAGTTCAAAACCATTCTGGGCAACACAGCAAGACCTCCTCTTGATAAAAAAAAAATTTATTAGCTGGGCATGGTGGCACGCACCTGTAGTCCCAGCTACTAAGAAGGGTGAGGCGGGAAGAGGATTGCTGGGGCTCAGGAGTTTAAGGGTGTAGTGAGCCATGATCGCGCCACTGCACTTCAGCCTAGGTGACTGAGCAAGACCCTGTCTCAAAAAAAAAAAAAAAAAAGCTTTTAGGGAAAATTATTACCACCCCCTCCTGTTTCCTAGCCACCGTCACTTCCACAGTCACGAGTTTGTTTTCCAGAGATATTTTTCAATTTTTTTGCATGAAAATACAAAACATAAAATTTACCATCTTAATCATTTAAGTGTAGTTTAGTGGCATTAAATACATTCATAATGTTGTACAACCATCACTACCATCCATCTCCATAACTATTTGCATCTTGCATAACTGAAACTTTATATCCATTAAACAGTAACTCCTCATTTCCTCCTCCCTCAACCCCTGGCAACCACCATTCTACTTTCTGTCTCTATGATTCTGACTATCCTCCACAGAGAATATTCTATGCATATACAGTTGTCCCTTGCTATCCATGGGGGACTGGTTTCAGAATCTCCCTCAGTACCAAAATCTGAGAATGCTAAAAACTCTTATATGAAATGGCACAGTATATGCATGTAACCTATGCATACCTTCCACATACTTTAAATCATCTCTAGATTACACAGAAGACCTAATACAATGCCTACACATAACCTCATTCTGTGGATGCAATGAAATATGTACTCAGCACGTAGCAAATTCAAGTTTTGCTTTTCAGAACTTTGTGAATTTTTTTTCCCCCAAATATTATCCATCCAAAGTTGGTAGAATCCATGGATGCAGAACCCATGGACGGATATGGAGGACCAATTGTATATGTAATACATAATATTTTTATAAAACCACAGTGGTCGCAAAATGTATACCCTCTTTTGCACCTTTTCTTTCTCACTATATGGGAGGTCATTCAATATTAGCACATACAGAGTTGGCTCATTCTTTCTAGCAAATGCATACATTTATTTAACCAATCCTTTACTGATGAAGACCTGGGAGCTTCTTGATAGTTTCTTTCAGATTAAAACATGCACACACGCGTGCACACACACACACACTCGACTGTAGGGTTTCCACTAGTGATTTTACATGTTAGAGGTCCAAGTAGAGCATTCATATGTAACTTGTCTGCCCAGGTGCTCTTATTCATTGGGTACACAAATTAATCCTAAACTCTCCACTAAGACACTCCAATTACAAAACACGCAGTACACAGACTTGTCACTGAGCCATTCCTGGTCCCAGACCCAAGTCGTCTAGCATCTACCATTCCTTTCAACTCTTGTAGAGCAGCCTTCAGACTACATTCGCACTAATCTAGATGTACAATAATCGCTATTCATAGTCTTTCCTTTTTAAATGCCTTCCTTTTAATCAAAACAATTGAGGCCGGGTGCAGTGGCTCACGCCTGTAATCCCAGCAATTTGGAAGGCCAGGTGGATCACCTGAGGTCAGCAGTTCGAGAGCAGCCTAGCCAACATGGTGAAGCCCTGCCTATTAAAAATACAAAAAGTTAGCCAGGCAGGTGGTGGGCACCTGTATTCCCAGCTACTTGGGAGGCTGAGGCAGGAGAATCACCTGAACCCAAGAAGCAGAGGTTGCAGTGAGCTGGGATCATGCCACTGCACTCCAGCCTGGGTGACAGAGCAAGGATCTAAAAAAAAAAAAAAAAAACCCAAAACACACACACACACACACACACACACACACACTAGGTTCTGAACTCAGCTGATCAGATTCGTTCACATCCTCTACCTCCTGCCAGGCCATTTTATTTATTTATTATTTTTTAATTTTTGAGATGGAGTTTCGTTTTTGGAGTGCAATGGCACGATCTTGGCTCACTGCAACCTCTGCCTCCCAGGTTCAAGCGATTTTCCTGCCTCAGCCTCCTGGGTAGCTGGGATTACAGGCATGTGCCATCACACCCAGCTACTTTTGTATTTCTAGTAGAGATAGGGTTTCTCCATGTTGGTCAGGCTGGTCTCAAACTCCTGACCTCATGTGATCCGCCCGCCTCAGCCTCCCAAAGTGCTGGGATTACAGGCGTGAGTCATTGCGCCTGGCCCCTTCCAGGTCATTTTTAAGTTCTCCTCAAAAACCATCTAGTATTTCTAATTAAAGGGCTCCTACCATCTTCTAGACTCAAGAGTTAACTGTAGGCACGGCGCGGTATTTGGCAAATGTGTGGTAGATACTAAATAAATTCTAGTTGCATCTGAATATTGTCTTTCATTATTTTATTCACGACCAAACTTGAGAATGGGGCTTAAAACAAATTTTAAGATTTCCCATGGTATCTACAACAGTCTTAAGCGCTTAGTAAGTACTCAAAAGTTATTTGTGGGCCGGGCGCGGTGGCTCACGCCTGTAAACCCAGCACTTTCAGAGGCCGAGGCGGGTGGATCATCTAAGGTCAGGAGTCCGAGACTAGCCTGGCCAACGTGGTGAAACCCCGTCTCCACTAAAAATACAAAAATGAGCTGGGCGTGGTGGTGGTGCATGCCTATAATCCCAGCTACTCGGGAGGCTGAGGCAGGAGAATCTCTTGAAACTGGAGGGTGGAAGTTGCAGTGGGCCAAGATCCCGCCACTGCACTCCAGCCTGGGGGAAAGAGTGAAACTCCGTCCTAAAATAATAATAATACTAAATAAATAAAAATACAAAAAATTAGCCAGGTATGGTAGCGGGTGCCTGTAATCCCAGCTACTGGGGAGGCTGAGGCAGGAGAATCCCTTGAATCCAGGAGGCGGAGGTTGCAGTGAGCCGAGATCGCGCCACTGCACTCCAGCCTGGGCAACAAGAGCGAAACTTTGTCTCCAAGAAAAAGTTATTTGTGGTTTGAATAAATTGGATATAAACCATTATGGTGGATACAGCACTTATTTGCTAGGTAAGAGAACTTCGCTTACCCAGGATGACAGTCTCAAGTCGCTAAAAGCCATGGATATCTCAAACTTCTCAATAAGATGGCTTAATCTTACTTCCAAAGATGATTACACAACAAATTGAAAGGGGAAGAGGGTGTAAAGCGTTTCCTCTCTACAATTATACACCAAGATTCGGACTAAATATTAAACGGACACAGTAAGCTGTTACTAGTTGTTATTATTAAGACGCATCCCACAAGGAGAGAAACGAAAGGAGGAAAAAGAACCGAGGTTGTCAGTCGCGAGAGGCTGAAATGTGTTCCTGGCCTGAGACCTACGGGCTTTAAGGACCAGGATCTTTGGACTCCCTGCCCACCTGGGGATCGAAGGAGGTCAGCGGCTTCCCCTAAAGGTCAAGGCTTTGGAGCCACGTTTCCTTCTGGGGCTGGGAGCAGAGCTGGAACGCCCCCGCGAAAATCCGTACCCCGAAGCCAGCAGCACCGCCTGCCCATAAACCCGCGCCGGCTCTGGGAGAGCGGACCACCAGCTCGCCCCCGCGCCGCAGCCTGCAGGAGTAGAAACCCGGCGGTGTCTCGCAGCCCCACAACCTGCCTGAGGGACAGACCACCAGGACCCTTGGGCTCCGATACCCTCAACGCAGGCCGGCCCGTCGATACTCACATTCACAGCCAACCCCGCTTACTCCATCAGGCCGTCGTGGGCCAGGCGAGGGAGCTCCCAGACGCCCCAGACGCCCCCTTCAGTTTTGGGTCCGGGAGCCTGCTCCGGACCCGCTCCCCGCCGGGCCCCGCCACAGCCGCCGCCAACGCGCAGGCGCACACCGAGGCCGTCACGCTCTTTTTTTTTTTTTTCGTTTGCGGTCCGCCGTTTTCAATAATCTAGCTTTATTTGAACACGAGAGTGAACAACGGACACACAGGAAGAGGTTTTTCTCAAAAAGAATGGAGGAAGAACAAAGGCAGGCCAGCTTGCGGGAGAGTCAGTACGCAGCGTCGGACGCTATGAACAGCCTCCCTGGTCCCTTTTTCATTCTCCTTGTTTCTCCTTGTTATTTCCCCGCCTCCCTCTAGCTCCTGCTCTCTTCCTTGGTGTCCCGCCATTTCCTTTAGTCAGTGGCAACTGTTCGGGCTAAATTTTGAAATCACTCCTTCCTTGTAAAACTTACTGAAGTTTAATGGAAGGTGCAAGAGCTTTAGAACAGACAGACCTGAGTTTCAGATCTTGAACTAGCTACTAATTGTGACTTTGGGTAAACTACAGTTCTTGGAATCTCAGGTTCTTGAGTTAAAATTAGGATAATGTTATCTCACAGGGTGTTGCTACGATTAAATAACATAGGTCAAGTGTTTATCCATGAATGCTGCCTATCACAGAGCAGACATTCCATAATACTGATTTTATTCTTACTCATGCCTAAGGTATTTATAATATTTTTAAAGTAGAGACGGGGTTTCACCATGTTGCCCAGGCTGGTCTCAAACTCCTGGGCTCAAGTGATCGGCCTGCCTCGGCCTTCCAAAGTACTGGGATTGAAGGTGTCAGCTACTGCGTCCAGCCTACATTTATTATTATTATTTATGTATGTATGTATGTATTTTGAGACGGAGTCTTGCTCTTGTTCGGGCTGTAGTGCAGAGCCGTTATCTTGGTTCACTGCAACCTCTGTCTTCTGGGTTCAAACGATACTTCAGCCTCAGCCTCCCAAGTAGCTGGAATTACAGACGTGCACCACCACGCCCAACAGATTTTTGTATTTTTAGTAGAGATGGAGTTTCGCCATATTGGCCACGCAGGTCTCAAACTCCTGATCTCAAATGATCCACCCACCTCGGCTTCCCTAAGTGCTGGAATTACAGGTGTGAGCCACCACGCTGGCCGGCTATATTTATTATTAAATGTAGCCCATACCCATTCCCTCAGAAACCTAATTTTAGTGACTAAGACTAGTCAGATAAATGAAATGACATTAAGGGTGATAATTATGTGACGTGTTCCTCCTATATTATTGAGATTATAACATCTGTGTTTAACAAGACCTTCAATGCCTCAAATGAAAGTAAGCAGCGACGGGGCGCGGTGGCTCACGCCTGTAATCCCAGCACTTCGGGAGGCTGAGGCGGGTGGATCGTGAGGTCCGGAGATCAAGATCATCCTGGTCAACATGGTGAAACCCCTTCTCTACTAAAAATACAAAAATTAGCAGGGCGTAGTGGTGCGTGCCTGTAGTCCCAGTTACTCGGGAGGCTGAGGAAGGAGAATCGCTTGAATCCGGGAGTGGGAGGTTGCAGTGAGCCGAGATCGAGCCACTGCACTCCAACCTAGCGACAGAGTCAGACTCCCTCTCAAAAAAAAAAAAAAAGGAAGCGGCTATATTCATCTCTTCTATGTAAATCCAGATTTGTTCTAGAGCTTTAGGAAATTTCCAGTTCCGTGTTTGTGACATCACAAGTCCTTGAAACACTCAAGAGCTGTGGCACACTGCTCATTCTATTCACCTTCAAAGGCATGCAATGGAAGAACTATTTTACCCTATAAACTCTGGGCCATCATTCCAGGAAAAGCCTGTAGAAGACTACGGTCAGATATTGGTGAGTGCCAAGGTAACGCTAGATTAGGGTTTCTCAACTTTGGGGTTACTGACATTTTGGAACATAAACTTTTTTGTCGGGGGTATCCTGTGCATTGTAAGATGTTTAGCAGCAGATTGGGAGTGGTGGCTCACACATGTAATCCTAGAACTTTGGGAGGTCAAGGGAGGCAGATCGCTTGAGTCCGGGAGTTTGAGACCAGGCTAGGTGACATGGTGAAACCCTGTCTCTACAAAAAATGCAAAAATTAGCGGGCAGTGGTGGTGCACACCTGTAGTCCCAGCTGCTCGGCAGGCTGAGGTGGGAGGATTTGAGCTGCAGAGGTAGAGGTTGCAGTGAGCTGACATCACACCATTGCACTCCACCCTGGGCAACAGAGTAAGACCTCTCTCTCTCTCACTCTCTCTCTCTCTGTTTTATATATATATATAAATATAGATATATATTATATGTGTGTGTGTGTGTGTGTGTTTAACACCACTGCTGGACACGATGCTAGCAGTACCCACCCCTGTTTCCCTGTCATCACAATAAAGCGTCTCCAGACATTGCCAAATATCCCCTGGAGGACAAAATCATCCCTGGTTGAGAACCACGGAATTATATCAATGACCATCACAACCCTAAATGAACTAATTAACTCAACTGTACATTTTCTCCACCTCTGCCCTCAAAAAGTGACTGCTGCTTGAGAAAATTACACAGGAGGGCAGAAAATGGTGAATTCATTTTTGCCCATATTAAAAAGGACCTCAATATTGCTTATCAGTCCTACAACATTTTTCTGTCAACTTGTTGTATTACTTTCTACAATATTCCCAATCTTCTCAACTTTCCTTTAAACTCCCAATACCACTTCCTTTTCTATCGGAAGATGACCCCATCTCCAACTTCACAGAGAAAACAAGTTAGCAAATGAGAACTTTTAACTTCCTGTTACTAAACATACAGAAACATACTTCCTGTCATAACTGGGGAGATATCTCCTCTATCTCTCTTTCTCCCCTCCCTCCTCTCTTCCAAAACCATTCCTCTCACCAGTGTTTTGAATTGCCTCTAAACTGCCTCTATTCTTACCCTTTCACCATCTTTGCCTACTGACTGTCCCTTCTCTTCCTTTAGTCAACCATTTTTTTTTCTCAGTTGAATCTTCCCTACTATACTCAAGTTTCTCCTGTCTTAATTCTAACCAAAAAAAAAAAAA